GGGGGCCCGGGGGGGGGCGGTGACGGGGGGGGGGGGTGAAGCTTCTCATTCATGTTCATCGAGAGCTGAGGTTAAGAATGCGTTGGAGCCATATCTCCTCTTTCCCATGTCTTCTTGGTGTGGTGCTTAATGAAGTGTAGGGACTTACTTTTACCGTAATAGAAGTAATTTACATAAAATATGGCTCTAGAGATCTCTCAGCGAGGGATGTTAACATAATTAAAAGACCTGAAGATTTTGAGCTTCTAGGATCAGTCGCTCTTAAACCCATATATGCAAAGCTGTGATCCAAAACCGTCAAAGAAAACATGACAAGGGTTTACATGTGACTAAAATATTAAAATCGATTTTAAGGAATCTTTTTTTTTGGGGGGTGGAATGCTGACTGTGCGTGTACCTTGCTAGTGCCTTAGTGGTTGGACAGATATTCTTGTCAGTATTCAAGAGTGTATCTCACATAGGTCGGTGTCCAGTGAATGTGAACATTCTCACTCCAAAAACAGAGGGCTGTCAGGTGGATCCCAAAACACAAGACATGTATTTTTTTGAAGATGGGTCTAACGATTTTTATTAAATTTCAATAATTTACAGAGGACAACTTCCTATGTAAGACTCCGTAGGTGGTATGCATATTAAGGGTCCAGATGTGAAATGTTGATTTCGTTGAAATTAGCATCACTTGTCTGACAGATTTTATTGGTGTTCGGTATTCAGCAGCCAGCAGTGATCTACTGGGTTTTGAAGGTAACGTAGGCAATGTCAGTCACACAAGAGCAAGTATGTGCAATGCCTTTGCACTAGTTTTTTTAATGAATACTGATTAATGTTTGCTTTCAGGGTCAGTGTCTTATCAATGTTGGAGGTGATGTAGTCTATGTCTCCTACTACTCAGAAGATTGAACTGAACCCACAGTATGAACAAGCAGCTGAACTACTTTATTGTACTTGGGCCTACATGGATTGTCAGCTAGGAGGTTCTGCTGTATCTTGCAGGATGACCAGAAATGACTTCTTGTTATTTATTTTTATACCATTATTTAAAAATGATTGTATCTTGAGATATGACTTCAGTTTTTGTGAAGAAGGATTGTAATCAGTTCTGTATTCTGGGATATAACAGCGTGTAGTCTGTTGAAAGTTAACTGACATTGTGGAGGAACATTGTGCTTCCAGCTTCAGGATGAAAGGGCAGCCAAGCAAGAAATCAGCATGAAGCAGTGCTTGCTCAAGAAGTAACAAACCAGCATGAAGCAGGGTGGGAGCAGTGCTTGCTCAAGAAGTAACAAACCAGCATGAAGCAGGGTGGGAGCAGTGCTTGCTCAAGAAGTAACAAACCAGCATGAAGCAGGGTGGGAGCAGTGCTTGCTCAAGAAGTAACAAACCAGCATGAAGCAGGGTGGAAGCAGTGCTTGCTCAAGAAGTAACAAACCAGCATGAAGCAGGGTGGAAGCAGTGCTTGCTCAAGAAGTAACAAACCAGCATGAAGCAGGGTGGAAGCAGTGCTTGCTCAAGAAGTAACAAACCAGCATGAAGCAGGGTGGAAGCAGTGCTTGCTCAAGAAGTAACAAACCAGCATGAAGCAGGGTGGAAGCAGTGCTTGCTCAAGAAGTAACAAACCAGCATGAAGCAGGGTGGAAGCAGTGCTTGCTCAAGAAGTAACAAACCAGCATGAAGCAGGGTGGAAGCAGTGCTTGCTCAAGAAGTAACAAACCAGCATGAAGCAGGGTGGAAGCAGTGCTTGCTCAAGAAGTAACAAACCAGCATGAAGCAGGGTGGAAGCAGTGCTTGCTCAAGAAGTAACAAACCAGCATGAAGCAGGGTGGAAGCAGTGCTTGCTCAAGAAGTAACAAACCAGCATGAAGCAGGGTGGGAGCAGTGCTTGCTCAAGAAGTAACAAACCAGTATGAAGCAGGGTGGAAGCAGTGCTTGCTCAAGAAGTAACAAACCAGCATGAAGCAGGGTGGGAGCAGTGCTTGCTCAAGAAGTTACAAACCAGTATGAAGCGGGTGGAAGCAGTGCTTGCTCAAGAAGTAACAAACCAGCATGAAGCAGGGTGGAAGCAGTGCTTGCTCAAGAAGTAACAAACCAGCATGAAGCAGGGTGGGAGCAGTGCTTGCTCAAGAAGTAACAAACCAGCATGAAGCAGGGTGGGAGCAGTGCTTGCTCAAGAAGTAACAAACCAGCATGAAGCAGGGTGGGAGCAGTGCTTGCTCAAGAAGTAACAAACCAGCATGAAGCAGGGTGGAAGCAGTGCTTGCTCAAGAAGTAACAAACCAGCATGAAGCAGGGTGGAAGCAGTGCTTGCTCAAGAAGTAACAAACCAGTATGAAGCAGGGTGGGAGCAGTGCTTGCTCAAGAAGTAACAAACCAGTATGAAGCAGGGTGGGAGCAGTGCTTTCTGCCTGCTTCCTGCTGATTTCTTGCTCAGTTTGCTCTTCAAGCCTGAAAATGGAGGCTAAATGTTCTTCTAAAATGTCAGTTGACTATTCACACAGTATTATATTTCAGAAGGTAGGACATTTTGTAACCACTATTGTGAGAATCTCAAATCCTGCAGGAATTGTAATTATGTTTTTTTTGAAGGTATAGTGTAGTTACTTTGTAAACACATTTTAAAATTTTTTGTGGGTATGTAGATATCATTAAATGACTGCATAGTTTAGAACAAGCCTTTTCTGAACTGTGTTTTTATAGATTGTATTACAGATGTACTTCTATACAAGACTTATTTTTAGGCCTGTGATACTTAAAAACATTTAAGAAGTATCTACATTATTCTCATGGATTCTCTTTCGTGTCCCGTGCAACTCTGAAAGATTTAAAATTCAAAATTTAAATTAAGAAAAGGATAAACTTTAATTTTGAATTTTAAAACATTTAGAATGAATCACATGGGAAAAGAAAGTGAGTATGTGTGGAAAGTAGACACAGTGCAACATTATCTACATTGTGTTTGGTATATGACTCATTTTGTAAAGTGCGTTTTCCCTTTTTTTATTAGGATGTCATTGTTGTGTTATTAACAGGAATATTGTGTGTACTTAACATGTTTACATAAGAATGGATTTTTTATGATAGTTTTTGAAAATAAACAGTAGACATGTTTTTCTTGCTTAGGTTTGTTGACTTTTGTGAAGTTTATGTTCTAGCCCACATCACAAGAATCCATATATACTAATGAACTATGGATCACAGGAATATCACGGGTAGCCTCAACTCACCTTATTGACAAATTTTGTTTCAAGCTGTTCAAAATTTTTCCATCAAAATGGGAACACAAGCAAATTTTGAGATATTTAGGTATGAACTAATTTAAAGTTTCATCAGTGTGAACTTGGAAACCAAAATTTCAACCAATAATGATTGCAATTCTGAATCTAAAAAATAATAATTTGTAAAGTATTCAAACAGTGTTTAATATTAATATCAGTGTAGACGTAAATATTTCAGAAAAAGGTACTTACGATCTCGCTTTCTTTGTGGCATGATTCCACAAAAATACATTAATTTAGGACAGCTTATGAGTTTTTTTTAACAAATTTACCACTTAATGTTTTAAATATTCATTTCAGAACCTAAGGGCTTCAGGAAATAATTGAGGGTCCTGCTGGCTGTGATATTTATGAACCCTTTTAGCGAAAACTTTACAGAGATACTGAAAGTGTCAAATCTATTGGAGAACATAATTGAAAATTAAAGAGAAAATAGATTATTTTATGTTGCATTTTTGTGTATGTGTGTATTTATTTATGTGGCCCGTGTACTCTGATGTTATATTCTGTGACTTTATAGCATAGCATGGTGTGTACGCCCTGAATTAGAAACATCGACCGTTTAATTCAAGATCTGCTTTTTCTCTTGCTGCATGGAAAACTATTGAACAGCACAGTCAAATTCGTATTGCTTCTTCGTATTCAGGATGTCCTGGGTTCAAATCTTGGTCCAGAGTCTGCCTGGTTTTCAGAGTAGCAGTAACACTAAGGCAAATAGTAGTGATGGCCATTACAGGCCCAGAACAGTTCTTACTCACATGTTGGGCTGTTAGAAGTGTTACGATGTTGACATTCGAAATATGTGGGAGTATGACAACCCAAAAGATAAAGCACGGTCAACAGGTCACTCAGTTGGCCATGTCCTTTGTTAATGGGTTAATAGTTAAGACAACTATGGTGTGTGAGTATAAAAAATTCGCATTCACAATTTAAAAATGATGCTGAAATTGAATGGAAACTAATGTATGCTTGTGGAATTTCCTACACATTGTTTGGTTGTATGATTGTTACTCGATTTTCAGAACCTTGTTTGTGATAATGAGATGGGTCATATGAAAATGAAATTGGCATTTAGGTTGGAAAGGCTTAAAATTGCTCATCATACCCTCATGCAACTCCTAAGGAAAAGAATTTGACCAGTAATTAGTGGATAAAATGGAAAGAGTTTCACAATTTTAGAAATTTATTGCTGAAAATAAATAGGAATGTAATTTCATGGGCAAGAAATAAACTGATTTTATTTGTTGTGTAAAAATAATTTCTAGATGCCAGCAGTTTATTAATTATACACACAAACTCATACACAGTTTGTTTTAAAGTGTGATGTGGCTGAAACCAGGATCTGGTGTGTGTTTACAGAATACTGACACTGACTGTTAATAAAGCCTTTACTTGTTACTTATTGAAGTCCTCTTACCCCCAAAATGTGACATTTATTAGTGCTGTATTGAAACATACTCATATAGAATTGTTAGGACACTGTCCATTATGTTTGGTATTGATTATGTTGAGCTATAGAAGTTGTGTAGAATCAGATCATATGAGGGGATGACAAGGAAAGTTGCAATATCCTCCTTCAAGGAACTATTTGGATGTGCCTGGAGTGCTTGTGGAAGGCTGCGAAGCTCAGATAAAGTGCTTCCTGGCTAATAAGCAGGTGACCAGAATGTGGCGGGTTGAGCCAGTCATGTAAGGATGGCCAAACTGCAAGAAAATCGTTCATTATACTAATATTAATGTTGGTCTAGCAAATGAATATAAAGGGGCTAATTGATTATTATTAGTTATGCTGTTTCATTCCAAGAGGCGATGTGGTGCCAGTTGAGGTGGAAATGCGAATGTGAATGGGTAGAAGGCAAG